CGGAAAAAAATGTATGCCATACGATTTCTACACTTCCAACTTAAAGTTCTATATAGGTTTTTATCGTGCACAAGATCGTCCGATAGCACTTATATATCATTTTATATATACGGCTATAGTAACATTTTTTGTAAAAAAAAAGTTTGTTGTTGTAGTACACACCCTAGAACGATGAAATTCGGAAAAAAATGTATGCCATCCGATTTCTACACTTCCAACTTAAAGTTCTATATAGGTTTCTATCGTGCACAAGATCGTCCGATAGCAGTTATATATCATTTTATATATACGGCTATAGTAAAATTTTTTGTAAAAAAAAGTTTGTTGTTGTAGTACACACCCTAGAACGATGAAATCCGGAAAAAAATGTATGCCATCCGATTTCTACACTTCCAACTTAAAGTTCTATATAGGTTTTTATCGTGCACAAGATCGTCCGATAGCAGTTATATATTATTTTATATATACGGCTATAGTAACATTTTTTGTAAAAAAAAGTTTGTTGTTGTAGTACACACCCTAGAACGATGAAATCCGGAAAAAAATGTATGCCATACGATTTCTACACTTCCAACTTAAAGTTCTATATAGGTTTTTATCGTGCACAAGATCGTCCGATAGCACTTATATATCATTTTATATATACGGCTATAGTAACATTTTTTGTAAAAAAAAGTTTGTTGTTGTAGTACACACCCTAGAACGATGAAATCCGGAAAAAAATGTATGCCATTCGATTTCTACACTTCCAACTTAAAGTTCTATATAGGTTTTTATCGTGCACAAGATCGTCCGATAGCACTTATATATAATTTTATATATACAGCCATAGTAACATTTTTTGTAAAAAAAAAGTTTGTTGTTGTAGTACACACCCTAGAACGATGAAATCCGGAAAAAAATGTATGCCGTCCGATTTCTACACTTCCAACTTAAAGTTCTATATAGGTTTTTATAGTGCACAAGATCGTCCGATAGCAGTTATATATCATTTTATATATACGGCCATAGTAACTTTTTTGTAAAAAAAAGTTTGTTGTTGTAGTACACACCCTAGAACGATGAAATCCGGAAAAAAATGTATGCCATCCGATTTCTACACTTCCAACTTAAAGTTCTATATAGGTTTTTATCGTGCACAAGATCGTCCGATATCATTTATATATCATTTTCTATATATGACCATAGTAACATTTTTCGAATGTTTTTTATTAAAAGGCATTCTGTAACGATATAATCCCAAATATATTTATATTTTATCAGATTTGTTCCTTTCCACATTTATATACATATTTTAATTGATCAAAAATATTTTTTTTAAAGTAAATCATGAAAATCAATTTTTTGAATCTTTTCCACGTGCATAAACACATATTGAAAATGTAAATATTGAAAACGAGTTTTTGCGTCTTTTCCACGTGCACAAACACATATTTGTAAACAAAAAAAACTCACCACACCAAAAAAAATGTTTATTTTGATAAAACAGCTGTTACGGTTTGTTTTATTTTTCGTCGGGTTGTTTTCTTTATGTGCGTACAAAAAGTCGATTGTTCGATTATTCGAAAGTCGATTTATAGAACTCTACCACTGATAATAAAATTAGTGATGTTAACACAAAATAAAATGCAAAAATGATAGAGCTTATTATCATCATAGAATGACTGTTTGATTACAATTAGGCCGCAATCGACAAAAAACTTTATCTAATTAGAAATATCAACACTTTCATAGAACTCCATTCTGATCGATGTGGAATGAATCATTTTCTTATTCTGCTCTTTCAGAAAAAGAACATTTAGGAACGGAACCACTTTCAGTTCTTTTAATTGAATCTTTAGGATTCAAATCGATTCCAAATATAGGTAGACTATGTACTTACTTTAAATGGTGGTCGAAATAAAATGTTTGACATTTTTTTTTAACAATTGTTATTTTTATTATAATTGTAATATTAATTAAAAGTTACATTTATGTATCTAAATATATATAAAATTTATATACTTTTAATAGATATATTCAAATTAATGGATTATTACTTAAATAAAAAATATTGAATATAGAATTTGAAACTCATAACTTTTTGAAATATATAGTTTTTAGTAGCGCTAATATTTAAGAAAGGACAACTAAGAAAATCAAACTACAAACACATTAAAGCAAAATAAATTGTTGAAATTTATATAGATGAAAATAATATAATATAAAGTTATATTCCTTATAATATTCTTGTAAACATTTTTAAATAATAAAATAACTTTATAACCCAGTTACAAGTATTTGAGAAATTTTTTAGGAAAAACGTAAATAAACCGTTTGTTATACATATTGTTCTTTAAAAGACAATGCAGGAAAATTATTGTGTTTTTTTCTACGTGTAGTAAGCTGTAAAATTAAGATGAAAGTAAAATAAAATTTATGTATAAAAAGCGACATTGATCGAATAACACACTCTCGTTCGCACTCTAAAACACCATCACACCAAATCACACAATTTTAAAAGGAAAAAATTAAAGGACAGATAATCAAAATCAAAAAACATGTCCAATAAAACCAAAATAGACAACGCTGGTTGATGATCGTCGATCGATCGATCGATCTTATTCCATTCTCTCCGATATCACAATATTAACTTGAGGAAATTGGGCGGGATTTTGTTCGGTAACGGCTAATTGAGCTAAACGTTGATTAAGTTCCTCATGAGAACTGAACGATCCGGGCGTTACAAGACATAAACTATCGCCGAAATATTCACCATACGGTGTACACAAACGCCAAACGACTGGTTCATTAGTGCATAAATCGGCTACAACTTCACAGGTATCACCGGGTCGTACAGTGGGTACTTCAATGCGACGTGTTTGACTGTTGGACATTAAGTAACAACCATTTGGCCATGACTCTGAGCCAATATTTTGCAGACTCCAGGCCACCTGTTGATTATTCGGTTGTGTTTGTTGGATAATTTTCATTGATGGTAATGTTTGTCCATTGCAAAAGTCTAAATAACAACCAACTGCCGTTTGAAGGTTCCTGTAATGAGAATTTTTAGTTATTTTCCAATTGCTACTTATTTCTACATAGAGTAAACTAAGTAAAGTAATAGGATGAAACTAATATGAAATGACTGCAAATAGATATTTCATATTTTTAAGAGAAAATCCATCAGTAAAGCATAATTGCTTAGGTCAAAGGTACTTTGGTTAAGATTTTTGTAATAACTTTAATAAAATCATTTAAAATCAAGTCATTCATAATGCTTTCATTCAGGAAATTACTTTAAAGCTCCTAAATAACTTCAAAATACGGCATTATAACAATTACAAAAATATCTTACAGATTTCTATAATTCAATTTTGGATTGTAAATTGTGTGATAAACTGTGAATTATAATTCATTATATAAGACTGCAAAACTACAAACATGATCATTAAAAAAGATGCGTAGAAAACTCTAAACTACACACTATTCTATCTTATCTAGGTAGGTATAGCTTATTTTCAAAAGAAATCAATTTGAGACCATCATTAGCCTATAACTGTAGTATGATAATAATTTGCTCTTTATAGTTTAATTTAAGGACTTACCAATTGCTCATTTCTAAGAAGAATCTGGCCGCATCCTTGTTCATTTGATTATTCATTAGACTATGAAATTGTTCGATTAAATCCTCATGGTCTCGTGTACCCAAACAGCTAAACTGCTGCAGCAACAGTGAATCAAAGTCAATGTCAGCAGCATTTGAACGGGCCTTGTCGTAGTTTTGTGGTGGAGCTGGTAGTGGTATCGGTCCTCCCAATGGACCATGATGCTGATGATGCGTTGTGGTGCCGTCGAATTGCTGTTGTTGAGGAGACCCGAAAGCAATTGAGGAGGAATCACATTGCATTTGCTGACCTTGTAAAACGGCTGGTGATGCGGATTGTTGTTGTTGCTGCTGTTGTTGTGGCTGACCAGTCTGTTGGGGATCAAATGCATTATCGCTAATATCCATATTGTCTGCAAGAAGCAAAAAAACAATTATAAAAAAGAAAATTAAATAGCTTTTTCCTTTGTCATGATCATTACAACAAAAATTTCTTTCTTTATTTCTCTCATCCAAATACACTACTTTTCTACTTTTTCTTTGTTTTCATTTTTAATTTCTTTTACCCACTGCATTCTTTCTTTAAAATTGCCCTTATAGGTGAAATTCAAGTGTTCTTTCATTCTTTATTTTGGAATTTTCTCTTACTTTACCTTAGATTTTATGTGGAATTTCGTTGTTAAATTGTGCTTTTTGTTTAATAGTTTGTTAAAAGATAACTTTAACCTTTATTTTTATAAAATTTATGATTGAAAAACCTAATTTTCCTTTTCTCTGCAGTTGATAAACAACGTAAAATGCAATTTAATAAAAATAATAATGCTGCCAGACGGTGTAACTTAAATGTCTGATTGGGCTGTGTTTAGTTAACCTTTGGGATGTCAAAATAGTACAACACTGGTCGATAAAACAGTTTATTGTAAAGTAGTTTGTCAACAATTCACCACTAGTAATGCAGTTTCACAAAACTCACCACTGATAATGAGATTTATTGTTACAACGGTACATTTCATCTGCGAGGTTTTTGGTTGTTATGTAGTTATTATCGAAAAATGGTTTTTGTGGTAAATTTCTTATATTCACCTCGAAAGTGGTGAATTTTTTATGTTCGCCACTAATTTATTCTCTGAAATTTCTGACTTTTTAAGTATGTACAAAAAATTGATTAAATGAATCTTTTTCACCACAACAGGTGGTGAAAAACTTTCATTCCACATAAAAGCGCTAAAACACATACGTTCCATAAAATCGGGCTGTCAAATAAAAACGAAAGAAATAATTTTTATCTGGCAATACACTTTAAACGAAATTTCATCAAATTTACACATCTGGCAACTTAAAATTTCATGCTGCCTATAACCATCTCTTTCCAACACATTGCTTCACTAACTGCTTTCAATTCAGTCAAATTAGACAGCTTTTGAACTTCAATTCGTGCGGACGTGTGGTACGCTTAATTAAAAAAAAATCTGATTAAAAAAACACAAAAAAGTTAATAAATATTTTTACAAAAAGTGTTTTTAATTGATATCTATCACAAGTGAAATTAAAAGAAAATGGCATTATATATAGCACATTTACTAAAAGCCTGACAACGAATATAAAATAATTTTTTATATAAAAAATGCGCAGATCAAAAATCACAAGTTAATTTTTTTTCATATGAAAAAAATATAAAAAATTCCAAGTGGAGTTCAGTCGAATCGTGTGTAGTGGAATTTATTTTTCTCGTTATAATTTTTGTTGTTTTTCTTTTAACGAATTCTAAACGTCAGCGCTAGTAGATATATATGCCAGCGTCAACATCAACGTCGCCGTTTAACGTATGATGATACAGAGTTTGAATGTGTGTATATGAATGAGTTACTGTTGGTATTTGTGTGTGTGTAATTAATTGAAAAACATCAGTGGTATAAGGAAAATAAAAAATAAGCAAAAAAGAATCGAAATTAAAAGAATAAAAAAATTTAGCAGAGTGGGAGCGGTGACGGTTATTATTTGCCCTCTGCCTCACGAAAAAACCCGTCATTATATTTCCATTTTTTGTGTTTTTTTGGGCTGAGTGAGTGTTTTTGTTTGTAGCGAAAAGTGGAATATTTTGTTATTATTTTTGTTGATATGTTGTCATTACTCTATATTTATTGTAATCTTTTTCATTACATTCTCTTGTTTAATAAATAATTAAATTCTACTGCTAAAAACAACAATAAAAACAACTATTGATGATTATAAAATTAAATTCATCTTATAAATTTTTGACGTTTGTGTGATTTTTAATCATTTAAAAACAACAACAACATATACACTCAATAAAGAGAGAGTAAGAGAGAAAGAAAGAGTGAACATAACAAACAAAAAACAAGTGCAAAAACAAAACGACAGAAATAGAAACTTGAAAGGTGTTTTTCTCTACAACAACAAATAAACGTTAAAAAAAGGAACGATAGAAAGATAACCAACCAACAAACAAACAAACAACAACAATAATAAAATAATTTATAAAGAATAATTTATCAACAAAAAGGAAAAATAAACAGTAAGTAAAAATACAAATAAACGCAGCTAAAACACGGAGAGAAATGAAAATGTTGGTACAAATTTTTATATTTTTTTATATAAATCAAATCATTCGTACATATAATGAGTCATTTGCTAAAAATAAATAAATAATTATTCCTTTGTTAGCTTAAATGCAGGTCCAAGTCCACTTTTAATAAATTGTACAGGATAGATAGACTGTAAATGTTGTATTTACAATAAAATTGTTTTGCATATCCGCATTTTCTCAAAATTTTAACTGAAGTTTTTATGGTTAATTATATTTCACTGAATTTCCAAGATAATGCATTCTTTATTAGAAAGAATTTGTTCGAATTTTGTTTATATTTTTGTAATTCCCTCTTTTAAAATGGAATTTAAAAAATGTTTAAATACCTATGTAAATTACAAATTTTTACAATGTTTTTGCATTATAAAATAAAACATTTGTTTAATGGCTAAAATAAGTTTAAAACGAATTTGTAATAGATTGATTTTAATTAAAACTTTTATTATAAATTTTGAATATTAAACTGTTGTAGCCAGTAATGTTCTTGTAACGAAAAACTTTTTCTCGGGTCATTTTAATGCAAAAACCTTCCGCGGCAAATCGATTTTCTAAAAACAGTCACAAACAACTTTACAAGAATTTTTATAGTACCTATAAGTACATGTTTGGGTATTAAATTTGGAAAAGGGGTAAACCGCGGAAACTCGGGAAAAAGTGATATAAACTCCCGCTCACTTAAATAGGTTCACTGTTTTGTTTATATTCAAATTAATTTTTTGCATAAATAATGGACTAATTGGTTATATTAAAATTTTAATTAATACCATGATGTCTTATACATATATCACTAGATAGACAAACATTAGCGCAATACTTAATAACCGATTTTTTATAATTTTTTTTTCTAAAATTCTACGTTTTTGAACAATATTTTTTTGGCTCATTTGAATACGTTCATCATGTTTAATTGACAAAAACAACAACAAATTGCATTTTTTTTTTTGATTTTTTATATTTTTATAAACATTTTTACAAGGTTTTAGAAAAGATTTACTAAGGAAAATATCCGCCGTTACTTGATATAACTCCGAAAATTCGAGGTGATTAAGAGTTATAAAGATTCTTTAGTAATGGCAAGGAAATTTCGGTCCAAGCCTATTTAGTTCCTTCAATTTAGGCTTCTTTTGTGTCATACTGTCTGCCCGACCTATACAGATTATGAGAAAGAATATCCGAAACCTTTTTAATAAAAAATAGGTTAGAAGATTATGGAGGCCACTCCAAAATTTTAACATTCTGGCTTCGAATCCACCCTTTTACAGCCCTGGCGGTATGGATCGGGGCATTATATTTTTGAAATATCCACGGCAAAATGTGAAAAAAGCTGTTTCCAGTATGGCATTACAATTCTTACTAGAAGAAAGAAATTTAAGCTCACATGTTTCATAATACGAAATTGCTCCCCACTACATCCCACATACTCAACCGCTATGCAAACGACTCAGATAGAGCTCTTCCTTTCAAAAATTATAAAAATAATGATTATATCGATCTGGACCTTCTAAATTAAACATGTTGTTAAAGATGTTGATATAGCTTTTTATAACCATGTGTTCACGTGCAAACTGAAGAGGATTTCTCTTTACGAGTGGCAATTGGAGTGGCTTTTATTAATGTTTTAATATTTCTAAAGCCTTGGCCCTTCTTACAATTCGTTTTACTGTGTAAAGTCGGTGTGGCTGAGTTGACAATCCTTGGTCGTTGTTCGTTGAACTCCGAGTCGTTCCGGTGCGAAGAACCGACTTTTTCTCTAATTTTTGCTACAGAATCACTTGACTTGGAGGCAATTTTATGTTTTCTTATAAAATTGCGAATAACATTGTGAATTTGCCCAATTTGTTTTGCCAAATTCCTGAGATTTTGGACAGTTTCTAAAAACGCTTGAATTGTGTCATTTTATTCTTTAGTTAATGGCTTACCGCAACATATTTGTTAAAATATATATTGTCTATATTCACAGACACTAGAATATGAATGGATTTTACTCACTGCCAGCATTAAACTGATTTTATTCTGATTGAACCTAATCAAGTAAAAAACGTAGTATGTTAGAAAAAAATTATTAAAAATCCGCTTTTAGGTATTGCGCTAATTTTTGTCTCACTAGTGTTACCTAAGACACATCATGTTATTATTTAAAATTTTAATATTACTAATTAGTCCATTATTTTTTGCAAAAAATTAATTTGAATGTAAACACAACAGTGAACCTATTTAAGTGAGCGGGAGTGTACTTTTTTATGCATTACGTGGAATGGATAATGTACATTCATATGCACATAGGATTCAAAATAAGATTTATTTTTTTTTTATAATTTAGTAGTAAATACATTTATGTATATTTATTTATAAAATTGTTTTGATGATACTTAAAATGATTTCCAATCAAATTGATGATTTCTTTGTAAAGATCTTTCAATGTACATATTTTTTAAGATTCCATTGATTAAATTCTTTAGAATTTGTATAAATACTATTTTATATTTCGTTCTAGGTAATAATGTTTTGCTGATAATTATATAATCTATTTTCAGAAAACAACAGTTTATTTTTTTTTGTTTTTGTTTATTACTGCTATTAACATTAATTGATTTTTATAAATTATTTTTTTCGATATCAAAAAATTACTAAAAATCACTTAAAACCAATAACCAAATTAATTCTAAATTAGCAACAGTATAAACAGTGTTTGAAAACATAAAATAAGATTAGAAAAATATAACAAAAAACTACCACTTGAAAAATCAAAAATAAATTATCAAAAACAAAAGCGCCATTTAATCAAATTATTTTTATATTAAAAAGTGATAATACATGTTAGAAAATAATGCAAAACTTTTAAGTTTCAAATTTTAGAAATAAAAAATATGTTTAATGAACATTAAACTCTGAAAACTTTTTAAAATAATATTATTTAAAATTTCACAATAAATATACATTTTTTCTGTTTATTTTAAAGTGTTAATATAAATATGTTTTTATCTATAATTATATACTTTACTGTATTAAAGCTTTTTCATTAATATAATTATTTTTTTGCTATTAACTCATTTCGTAGAAAAAATTATTTAGTAATCTAGGTTCATTCATTTATACATGTGTACAATAAAAATACTAAAATATGTGTATTTATTTCCAATTTTACAAAGCTCAAGGTGTTGGTGATTCCCCTTCGTCAATTCATTAATAATGCTAACGGCAACATTTTTCTAAAAAATCACTTATTTTACTATTATTTATTTGTCTTTAATTGTTATATTTCTTATTATTTATATTTTGTCTTATAACCGGCAATTCAGGCGATAATTGTCTATATGACTTCAATTAGTTTTATTTTTACCTATATCAATACTATCAGTTCTGCTAATTTAAAAAAATATATATACATATATATTGCAAAGTATTGAAAGAAGTTTAGTTTAGCATCGAAATATCGAGAGAAGTCTAATCGTATTTCAGGTTATAGGTTAAAGTTAAAAATTGTATGATTTCACACTCCAAACCTGTTATAGTGCCCAGACCTAGCCAGTTGACATTAAGACACAATTAAAAGATCTTTGAAATGAATTTTATTAAAAATATCAAAAAATTCGACTTTGTACTTAAAGAAAAAAATAATCCCTCAAACTGAACTTACGTCCAATAGAAAAATATAGTTTGGTAGACACAAAAGTCTTGTGAAAAATAAAGTTTATTCGATTAAGCTATGAAGCCATTTAGAATAAAATTATTAGATTATAGGCTATTTAAATCCAAAATTTTATTTAAATGGGTCAAATAATTTTATATATATCTACGATTTAAAATTGTTCTGTTTTGGTGGGTTCAACCTTTATAATAAACACATTAAGGTGGTCCTTAAATGTAATATTTCACCCATATTTACATTATAGCTTACTTAAATCCAATATTTTATTTTAATTGTTCAAATAGTTTTATAGATATATACGATTTAAAAGTGATCGGTTTTGGTGGGTTCCACATTTATTATAAAGAAATTTTCAAAAAATATACATATGTACATATGATTTTTGAACACATTAAGGTGGCCCCTTAATAATTGTATGTTAAATTCGACACTCGTTTAAGCGTATTATTTTTGCAAGATATTTCGATAAAAATTGATTATTTTCATAATAAAAAACATTTGTGATCAATGAAAAACACTTGATCAAGTTTAACGTCGAACGGACAACATTATCATTAATTTTTTGTTCAGTTGATCTAATATTGGCAATTTCCAATAACAAGCTAATTTTCTATCTCTTAGCATCTTTTGTTTAGGGTCCATCGTGATTTTATCTGACGAATGGAAATTCTAAATTTTGATAAGGGGTAAAACAAATCTATTTTAAGTACCGGTCTAATGTATATTATTCATAAAGTATATGTAAAGCTTAAGGAATTTCTGTAGGCGTTTTTTTTGGTTTCTAAAGAGGAATATAAATAAGATGATGAATAATGGTTGTGCAGATGGACGGTCAAGCGATTTACTGGAATAACGTACAAAGTAAATGTATGGCGAATGAAATGGAGGTACAAAATTGAAACAAAATCTGGTAAATAATTTAAACTATAAACATGAAGAAAACTAAAAGAAAATACATCAAAATAAAATGCAGGGCAGACTACACAGCAAACATATCGCTGATCTGGAAACCAACGACCGACCTTATCTTGTTATGTTGACGAAAATGAACAAAAAGCATAAGAAAATAAAAACAAATACTTGTTGATCTTATTATTGTTTCTACAGCAGCAGCAGCAGCAGCAACAAGAACAAAAACGTACAATTGTCAATAACAACAAAATTATAAAAAACAACAAACACTGCGTTAAAAAGAATTTTATTGAACAAGAGGCCTGTTTTTTTATGTTGTAATTATGATGATGATGTTGTTGCTGTATTTATGGTACAAAAAAAATTCTAAAAAAGATATTGTACAAAAAAATAAATTAAATAATAAAGTATGTACAAAAAACACAAAACAGTTGATGGGTTTGGCACGAGCATATCATTGTCACGGCAACAATCACAGCAGCAGCACTACCACTACCATCAACAACAACAGCAGCAGCAACAAAATCAAGTTTAGTAATAAAAGCAGCAAAGAGAAAAATAAAACAGAAACAATAAAGCAGCAACTGGTGTTAAATCTGAAAAAAAAACAACCAACACAACAGCCACAAAAACGAAATACTAGACAGATTTAAAAAAAAAAACACAACAAAATTAAAGAATGAATAAAGAAAACACACACAACAAAATCCTAAAATGTAAAAAAATAATCTTCTTAAATAAAAACAAAAAAAAAAAAAAAAAATAAATACAACAGGGAGTAGTAAATATTATTGAAAATGCGTTAAATAACGCAGAAAATAATTTGTTGCTGCCTTCTTTACACTTCTCTCTTTCACACAATTTTTTTCTCATGTGCCTTCTTCACTTCATCACTCTTCTTTACTTACATACTTTCTTCTTAGAAATTGCAAAATTTCTTGGAAATTTTGCATAGAAAAATAAGCATAAAAGAAAAATACAAATTAACGACTTTGCAAACAAAGATGACAAAGTATAATATAACAACAACAACAAAAATTAGAAAAAAGCATGGCAACGTATAGTAAAATAAAGCTCAACACAATTTAATGCTAATAAATAAATACTTAACAACTGGAACGTCGAAGAAAATGATGACGAACTAGTACGTACCATGGCAGTCATGAAAAGAAATAACTAGATCTTATTGTTTAGTTAGAGGAAAAACCCTTTGAATATTCAAGTATCTAAGTATGATTTTTTACCATTTAATAATGCATAGTTTTTTATTCTTTTCATAAGCTCTACATGGCTCAACTAAACTACTTTTGGGTATTCGCAGTTTGATTAAGTGATGACTGAAGACCTCATTTAGATTTAGAAATGTTACAGACGAAGAATTGCCTGTTTATTACAAACTTCTTGGCATTGAATCAAAATATTAATTTAAAAATCTAGTTTAAGCAGTTTCACAAGTTTCTGAATGTAAATACTTTTTGAAATTTTTAAAAATCTTTTGTATATGCTAAGATTAAGGCCCGTTGAAGTTCTCGCCGTTAAATAAAGAACTGATGCAGTTAGGGGTGTCAAAATTCGATATTTGGACATAACGGATTTTTTCAAGTGACCCTACTATCCAATAGTACTAACCTTAGTGCAAATTTCATCCAAATCGATTTTTTGAGTTGGGTAACATGACACGAAATTGCCCATATAAATACATACATACAAATCTTCTCAAAATCGTGTCTTTTTTGGAGGATTTCTTTTAACATTTGATTTCTTTATTCAAGTATTTTTTCTATTAAAAATTTTCCATAGACCAGAAATTATTTCTATGAAAAAGCGTTTAATTTATTTTTTATTACATATTAAGATTACATTGTAAAAAAAAAAAAACAATTTTTGGTTTTTGTTATAATTTTAATCTCGTTTTTAAGTTGCTGTTATTTATTATAAATGTATTTTTTTAGTTTATTTTACAATATAAAAAAATGAAGAATACTCAACAACAACAAGTAAGAGTGTTTTATTCGGTTAAGACGAATCATACACACCCATCTTCTAAATATGTAATACCTTAAAAATTTTCATCACGTAAGAGCAATTCCGATGCTTTAACATTCGTCATATTTAAAATATTTTATCGATTTAAAGTTTAAACAATTTCGTTCGACTTTTAGTTGCCCTCTCTCTATAGATGTTTTCTTTATTTTTTTTTTTCATGATCAGATTTGTCTTATTTTTGATACATGCCTTCATTTAAGCGCTTTTTAATAGGTTTTGATTTTTGGTCGAATATTTCTTTATTTTCGGTTCAACTAGATTTGTCCATTTTATAACGGTTTTAGAATTTTGTAAAAATTCAGAATAATTTTTAGATTGCTGCAAATGGAATGACAAAATAAGTATACTCCTGAAAATTTTGATGACTAAAAAAATTATACTCTTTTTCTCTCTTAATAACAACTCTGAGTTACATTTTTTAACATATGTTTTGAAATGAGATTTTGTTATTGTTTTAATTGTTGTTGTTATTTTTTTTTTCCAAATTATTATTTGTCAAATAAATAAAATCAAATGAATGAACGAACGAGTTACAGAATGAATAAAAAGCAAAATTTGATTAGTCATTGTTATCAATTCTATCATGATCAACACGTTTTTTGCCTCAGTTTTTTCTCACTTTAAAATCTACTCTCAATAAACACTTTATGACAGTAGTTTTTTTTTTATAAAAAAATAAAAAATATATATTATTAACATCTAGTATCTAATTAGCCTAATTCTAATATTTTATTGTTGGTTTTATCTTTTATTTACTGCTTCAAAAATCTGTCCCGAAAATAAGACCATCTGTTAGATTTTTTTATATGATTTAAAAATTATTACAGGAATATAAATCTGTGTTTTAGCTCAAAATTTTCTTTAAACTTATTAAAATTTTATTTTCGATACTTATAAACATTTTAAATTTATTTAAAGGTCTACTATATGTATGGGCTTAACTTAAAATGTATTTATTGAGTATAACAATTAAAAATGTTTTAAATTGAAATAAATAAATACAATTGAGGAAAAAAATGTATTTATTCCCAATAAACATCGATTCAAACCTGTGAATATTTTTGAAAATTTTCTTAACTAAATAATGTATTTTCCAAATTGTTTTCAAATTTTAAAGTTTAGCCTTTGAAATAAACATGATAATTTCAAAAAACGCTTAAAAAAATATAATGTGTGATATTTATAAAATTTTCAAAGTTTTGTTTTAATTGAACTTAGAAAAGTTTCTTTCAAAAAATAAATTATTTTAGAAAAATGAAAACAGAACATTTTTTCTACAGCAAGGGAGCGAAAAAACGTTAAATATAGGAGAAATAATCGGAGATATAAAAGAAAAATATGCTAAAATAAATGTATGAATGTTTTATTTTCAGGTGATGTAAAAAAATATATGAATTTTGCAATATTTAGCATTATAATTAGGGTTTGAAATATGTATGAAAATAATAATAAAGAATACTTGAAATACGTTTGAAAATTTTTTTAGTTTTCAAGCCTTTTTTTAAATTTGAAATAGATTTGAAAAATACGTTTGATTTCTAACTGCCTTTTTGTTTGAGAAGGCCATAATTTTCCATTTGAAAACAAAAATTTTCAAATTTGTTCTCAAAGGCTATGTATGAAATTTGAATAGGTTTTCAAATACACATTTACATCATTTCAAAGGTTTTTGCTTACTGGGTTAAGTTGTTTAAAATTTCAGCACTAATCTTTTCTTTCATATTTTCTTATTCAATAAAAGCAAAAATTTTGTTCTTTATTTTTCAGATTTTCTTTATAGGATTAAAAAATGACTTCACCGGAAGAGCGAATATCAGCACATGGTAAGTGAAGTAAATTTAATATTATTGAATTAGTTAGTTAGTCTGGTAGGAATCGAACTCACGACCTTTTCTTAATAATTCATTTTTTGAACAAACTTTTACTAACTAATTAGAAGCAAAAAATAATTAATTATTGTTACTTTATGAACTCCTATTTCCTCCACAATACAATTTACATATTTATTTTAATATAAGGTAAAATTATTATACAGGACTTTATTGTATCCCCCAATTTCATCCCTTGATATACCCATTACGTATGTACATATGTATATTTTTTTAGCATGAAATTATTAGAAAATCTTTTTTTTTAATTTTTCAAAATTTTAAGCAAAAATTTCAAATGCTACTTGTAAACCTACAGGGTTAGATAATACATAAAAATTAGTCTTATAAAAGTAGTTTGTTATCCTAAGCAAACAGGAAGAAAACAAAAATAATTTTTAAAATAATAACAGAATAAATAAAAAGATATAGAATAATAAAAGGAAAGTATAGTAAATGGTAGAGACTAAAAAACGTTAGAGTCTCTTAAAAACGGGTATGTAACCCGTCCCTAATAAGGCGGCCTAAAAGTTTTATTTTTTTGTATTATGCAGATTGTTTTAAATATCTTGACAAAAAAGGCCTTTGGGTTTAGTTTAGATACCAGTCAAATAATGCAAAAAAGGTGACAACAGATTCAATGCTGAAAAGTTTTACTACTAAATCTAGTCCATACTCCTTTCCTGTATGGTACTTTGCTTTCAAACCCCCTTATCCAGAAACAAAATTTTTATTTTATAAACGGTTTATAAATTAGATTTTGTATGGAAATTTTGTTTTATAAAACTTTTATAAAATAAAAAGCGTTCTATAGAACGATTTAATAACTAATTCTAGGGACGACTAGTAACAATTTTATAAAATTAATTATGTTCTACAACTATCGCTGAGATAACAATCTTTGGCTTTATTTTATATTTCAGAATAATAGTTTTCTATTTCTGAAATTTTTATATTGTATCATTATTTTATTGCCCCTTTCCATAGTGCTATTAGTATTTGTAATTGTACATAGTATGGTAGCACATACTTATATACTAGTAGCAGTATTATAAAATATTTATGTACAAACATTTGTATACAAATATATATACATATAGTATATAATCATACAAATATATATATATACATATATACTACTACAAAGTACAAACAACCAACATTCGTTTATTGATTTTTGGTCTATTTTTAGACATTACTTGCCTTCAGAAAACACTTGAAAGCCATGAAATAATAATAAAATATATACATACATTTCTTCTTTATTTCGTTCGTATTTTTCCATTCCCTAACTTTATAAAGTTTTTCGCTTTTTTTCTTGGTTTTCTTGGTATTCTGCTACTGCATGCCTCCAATAGCCACCTACCCAGGCAGTCAGTTAGTCCTCCCAAATCCTCCCAGTTTTGTAGGTTTATTAGTAACCAATTGTAAATTTTCCTTCTATATTCACAAATGTTCTTTAGCTCATGCCCTTGGCTATAAAGCCTCCTGCCTGTATATACTACATACATATATATAAATGGATGGTTAGCGTTAGAGAAACTTAGCAGGTATCCTTTGTTGTAGGTTAAGGTAGAATTCTTTCCTTTGTCAGTCAGACATTCTGTCAAATACATTCGTTACCACTGTCTGTCTGTTTTTCTGATTGTATATTTAGGTATCTGTTGTAATCTTCGGCTGTTAGCCTGGTAAAGAAAATATTTTCAATGTTAGGTTAATGCTACAATTGTTGTCGTTGTCGCTGTTTTGTTGTTATGATTTGCAGTTTTCTTTTATCAAAAACATTTTAGAACAGACATGGGAAACTTAAACTTTGAAATTACAATACTTTTGAAAATTTATTGTACAAACTTATTCCGAAATTTAACATAATGAATATGAGATACATGTTTGCTTAAAAACTTCAACACCGAACAAAATATTTCCAAAAGGTTTTCCAATAAAGTCTCAAACCGTCAAAATCCATCTTCTTTAAAAAAATACTTCTGAACACAAAAAGTCATGGAAGAAAATCAGTATTTATAAATTACAAATAAAATTGAACAGAATAGTAGTAAAGTTTCCATCCCTGCTTTAGAGCATTGGGGCATGAAAGCGAATTCTCTTCCTTGATGATTCGGGTGTGTACGAGAGAGAAACTATTTTTAACTTTTGTTGAATATTATAGTCCTAGTAAACTTCTACAGTGTAACAAATTTATTTAGGCACAGGAATTTGCAAAAAGATTCTCCAGCAGTTTTCTGCAGAAAAAGTTCTCTTAAAATGTATTTCGTTGCTAGACTAATTTCCTTTATACACTCATCATTGGCATGGTTTTTCTAAATGGAAAAACTTATCTTCTTTTTTTGAGGTCCTATAATGATTTACAATTTTTTATTTTAATTTTTAATAAATGTCTAACTAACTTAAACCTGAAAATTTGTCCTTCATTACAAACGATGTTATTGGTTCTTATAGTTTATTTTAATTTTGTTACGTTTTTCTCCTATTATTTATTCATTATTAAATTTCCATTTTTTTCCTTTTTTGTATACATATTAGATATTGATGGATGATAGGAAAGAGGGATCTAAATTTATATTTTGTTTGTATATATGCATGTATGTATCTGTGTATATCTATACTAGAAAAAGTCGTTAAAAATTTATAATATATATTGGTTGGTTAGGGATTTTTGTCTTTCGTGTGTTATATTTAGACGTTATATTGAAATTTCAAGTTATAGAAAAACTATTAGTTGAAAAAATGTCTGGAATATTTGGTTTTGTTGTCAGGTGTTTCTATAAACCTATATTAATCCAAAGTTTTTATATTCTTTTGGTAAGTTTACTTTTGAAAAATAATTAGTGTATTCAAATTTGTTTTAAATTTGACAACATTGAAAAGTTTGCAAATGTTTTTTATAAATAATAAATGTGTAACTTGACTGGGTTAGAGTAATTTTTCAATCGAAAATTTTTAATTATTAATCATAATTTTTTTTAAATTTAATTTAAAATAATTTTATGAGAAATATATTTATTTTGTTATTCAGTAAGTAAAATATAAAAAAACTTTAGTATCCTAAACTAATTGATAGTAATGGGAATCTTTTTCAGTGTTAGTTCCAGTTCAGTTCTAACTCAGTTCTAATTCAGTTCTAGTTCAGCCTAGTTTAATTCTAGTTTAGTTTGAGTAAAGATTTAGTTGAATTCTAAATTCTGTAACTTTTTCTTTTAAGGTTAACATTGTTATTTTTTATTATTTTAATTAAAACATTTTTTCTCAATTAAAAAATTAATTGATTTAAAAAAACAAATACTGTTTCATACAATAAGAGTGACAAATAGAGTTTAAATAAATACTACGAAATGATATTATTATTAACTAAATATTAAATATACCAATTATAGTAGCAATAAAATATTGATAGCAAAGTCTTGCGACGCTAAACAATATTTATTATGAACTAAAAATAAATAAATTGTATTTTAAAATTATTATGTTATGTGTGTATGTTATTAAAAACACCAAAACGATACAAATACAAGCGGGTTGCTTTATATTAATTTAATATTTATTAATAGGAAAATAATAAATTGAATTATATGAATACTTACACAAACATGTACATATGTATGTGTTCACCACCAATGAAGCAACCAACATTTTCATACTTTAGTCACTACAAGCTTTTTTTTCTCATACTCTTGTCAATGTAGTGAAACAAAAAACTCAAATCTAATTATAAACTTTTAACGTAATCTTTGATTAAAATTGTGTTTTTACGTACTTTTATTTTCAATGAATAAAAAAGCCAAAGGTACCATATTACATACTACTATATTATTTGTTGTTGTGGTAATAGTTCTTATCAATATTGAGTTGCAACTACAACATTGTTACAAAAAACCCTAGAATTATAGTAGTTTGTTCATGACAAGAGTTGTTGTTTTTGCCGTTGTTATTTAATTTGTTTTAAATTCAAACAGTATAATTTACTTGTAAACAAATTCTATATTTACTTCTATTTTATTATTGTTCTATAGTACTCAATTATATATGTACAATGTATGTACATGCACTCTGTACTCTCTTCAGTTCAACAAAGATATAGACAAATAGATATTTGTAACAACAAGAGTAATGGTAACAGCAGCAGCAAAAAACTAACGATAACAATAAATGTAAACCACGTTTGTTTTTAATTACAAAATTTTGTTGTTGACTTTGTTGCTGCTGTTGCTACTGCTAAATTCTGCTGCTGATGTTAACTGTTACAGTTGTTGTCTCTAAACATGTAGTTGCTGCTGCTAATACAATTTTCTCTGTACTTATTTTTGCTGCTTCTGTTCTGTACGGTTCTATTCTATTCTGTTCTCTTCACTTTTGTTTTGTAATGTTCGTTTTTGTTGTTATTGTTGTTTGTATACATACATCGTAGTATTTCTAAATATATACCAATATGTTGTTGCTGTATTGCATGATTTATAAGTTTTTTTTTACATCTAAAAATAGAACAGCCAGCAGGTCACGGCCCATACTTAAAGCTCAGAACCAAACTAACACATTTAAAACGTAAAATATATAACCGAATATTAACGATTTCACTCGTCTGTTGGGTTAGTTAGATTCGTAAACAAAATGTTCTTTACACTGTTTTTGGATATGACAACTTTATGAATTATTACAATGCTAAGTTCTTTTTATACCCACCATCCGTCTGTATCCCTTATATCGAAATATTGGTTTTAGACCCATAAAAGTCTCCATTGTTAAATACTATTTGGTATTGATAATAATGACCTATATCGGGCTAGGTTTTCACCTATTATCCACACAAAATTTATACAGCAATGCATGGAAAATATCGGGCCACATTTGATCCAAGCGTTCAGAAGTTCCCTTTCATAAAATGACTTTAACCTTCATAACTAAGTTAAAAAAATATTGTATAAAGATGAAATTCGACAAAA